CCAAGTAGGGTTACTGGGTGCTTGCGTTAAACATTGGCAAACTCTTTGACACTGACATAAACCTTGACTCAATCAAGGCGAGAGCTACAGTTGACACATTCCATTTACAATACCCATTGTAGTCTTACCTGTCATTTGTAGTTTTGGTTGTGCTTATACTACACGCATTAAAAGATATGTGGATATGTATGTATACATCAATGTTTTGATCATGATACGTCACTGTTGATATCGCCTCCGTGTTCATTGATGCAATTTCACTGTGTACGCTGTCGACATGACACAGGGATAAGATTGAATTAATATTATAATTGGGTTTCAGTTGTGATATACAAACTACAAGTAAACCTTCAAGTGTCAAATACAACATTATAAATGTGTAAACAACCTATAATTTCCTGTTGGAACTTTGACTGAGGGTCATGTATGTCAGGAAGGAAATATATTGCAATGTATCGAAACATACACAATTAATTTCATTTGGCATTTGAAAACAGTATTTGTACTCATAGGGAAAGGTCAGTCCAGCTTAATACAGGTCTACGGAGAAAACAGTAAAGCCCCTGTCCTACCAGGAACCGACGTTTCCTGTTCTGTGTTCAGCATCTGCCGCAACTCCTCCAAGAATGGCAATGCATGGTGTTGAGGTTGGCAAAACCTGCGAAGTCGTATCGTGAATCGTCTTTCCTTGTGATCCATCTGCCGTTGTTTGTCCTAAAAAATAGACATGTTATAGGTACTCTTGATGGTATGCATTTCGGAAATATGAAATTATTTCACTGTAAAACATATACATGTAGTGAGAAATACGAACCTTGACAAACGCCAACAGCTTGCAAAAGGCTGATCAGTTCGATGATGTTCGCCATACCCTCGACTGCATGCAACGAATAACGGCATGACTAGCCAGCCTTTATGTACTATTTCGTAACCATGGCCTAACACCTCTAGACTAATCGGTATGGTCCATGCAGGTGGCAAAAGTACTGTTAGTCCCCATGATCCCTAGTTTGGTGATCTACCTTCAGTTGTTGGCGATCAATAGCCAGTTTTTATATTGTATTGTCCAAATAGTGCTATTAGTTTTAATTTCCCACACTAGTTTTAGTTGTAATTCTGATATTCTAGTTGTTTTACTGTCCTTCGTAGACAGGTTTATATAATTTACATCTATTCCATTTCAAAGTCACATATGTTCTCGTCACGACATGGCTGAAATATTGCCGATGTGACGTTAAATAATAACTCACTCACTCACTAATCGGTATGGACAACCCTTCATAAATAATGCTCAATTCCCTGTTGTTCATGTGGTTTCATGTTGAATAATGTATATACGGTTTAATTCATATGGATACCTAGCCCAGTTTTGCTGGAAACTCAGATCAGTTCAAACACTGATAATGAATGAAATAATGAATGTGTTGCGTCTCAGAACAGGAAATCACAGTGTACAAATATTGTTAGTGTTTGTTCAGCGATTCACATTCTGGTATCTCTCGAATGAGAACTAACCTGATCCCTTTCGTTACACAGGTAGTAATGAGGCAGGTTAGGACAAAGTTTAATCCATATAGTTCATATCTGTGTCATGTTCACATAGCTTGGAGCTGTGACTGGTTACCCGAGTACCCGGATCGACTGCATAACATTAACTACTAAGATCCTGAATAAACTACCCGGACCCCTTTCGCCATGTGCCTTTTCACGTGAACCTGATAGTTTTGCAAATATATTACGGAAATTAAACTCAAAACAAAATCGAAATAATAAATAAAACATGCAATTTATATTCCTTCTTCAATCATAAGTATGGACGCTCATTCAGTATAAGGTTTTGTGTTACATTGTTAACGGTTGCTACATTTAGGCAGGGTCAACCAGTTACTAGATGTAATTTCTTTCACTGACAATGTTGACTTCGCGTTTTGAGACGTGTACAGTAGAAAGTCAAGTATCTGTGGAATTTTAACTTTAAGAACACACGACAACAAAATACGGTTATAACATGCGCACCGAAAAACCTCAATCGTGTGGGATATCAGTCTCCAAAATTAATTCCGAATAACATGCATGCACTCACATATCTATATTCACTCCTTTACCGTCCCACTAAGCCTAGTTGTGAGTTTAGATCAGAAAACATTTTGTTTAATGTTGATAGTCATGGTTGTCTCAAAAAGGGAATAATAAGAGTCGTCGTGGGTATTTATAACTGCGCCTGTATCCGTGCATTCAATGCTCGCCCGATGCGCTACAAAAAGGAGGGTAAATCTATGTACAATGTATACAGGAGATTACAAATAGTTGGGAGTTAAAAAGGAAGAAAATACCAAACAGAAAGCTATAGAGAAGTAATGGGATTTTAGAGGGGACTTGAAAGAGTTCAGTGATTCTGCACATTTGACGTCAGCTGGCAGTGTAGGCAAAGGTCCTCTGACCAGAGGAGACTAGTCCGACTCTAGGGACTGTAAGTAAGTGTTGATTATCGGATCTTAGACATCTTGCAGGGGTGTACAGCATTAGAAGTTGAGATAGATACTCTGGAGCTTGGCTGTGGAGACATTTATATACAAGTCACAGGATTTTGAAGTTCACACGGTACTTAACAGGGAGCCAATGTAGGAAAATGAGAGATGGAGTGATGTGATCTCGCTTAGATTTCAGACACACAATACGGGCAGCAGTGTGTTAAATTGTTTGGAGTTTCTGTACTTGCATAGAGTTCAGTCCAACGTGGAGGCTATGACAATAGTCTTATGATTCTGAGGTGGTGATGGCAGATTTTACGTAGATGATTAATATGGGCATCAAGTGAGAGATTAGAGCCTATGTACACACCCAGATCTTTGGCAACAGAGCCAGGTTGAATGACAGAGGATGCCACACAGTCATCAACAATCTGAGGATCTGCCAGACGCTTCTTTGCTCCGACTACTCAGATAAGACTGAAACCACCTCAAAGCAGTTCCTCTCACCACAACTTGCAAATCCAGGAATTCTAGTAGCTGTTCATGTTCTTCAGTGTCGAGTGCTGCACTCAAATCAATCAACACAAGGGTCACTAAATTTCGGGAATCCAGAATATTTCTCAAGTTATTTACAAATCTCAGGAGAAGAGTTTCTGTGGAATGATGTGGACGATATACCGACTGTAATCTATTGAGTATGTCATGTGATGAGAGGTGTTCCATCAGCCTCGTTGCCGCAGCCTCTTCAATGAGTTTTGATAGAAATGGCAAATTTGACACAGGTCGACAGCTTTTCCTATAAAAGCATACATCATTTGTATTCAGGAATAATCAACGTCTGAATCTTGCCTGTTTTGATTTCCACGGTGCTTCTTATCCGCTTCACATTAATGATGGTTTCAATTGTATGCATTTACAGAATGCAGCTTCTGAATAAAAGTAGAGATTGTACAACTGAGATATGTGACTTATCGTCCATTCTCATTCAATGCTTTCAGTTTTTGAGGAATGTTGTATGTTCATGTTTTCGTGTTGAAACAATATTTGATTATGAGGTAGATCCGCAAAGACCCGTTTCAGAATTGGTCTTCACCAACCGGTGTTTGTCGATTAACGACTAGACTCGCTGACTTGGTTGCCATGTCATCCTATCTCACTTGCATAGTTTCTGTTCATGCTGTTAATCACTGGATTGTCTGATCCAGACTCGATTATTTACAGATCGCCGGCATATTGCTGAAATATTGCTTATTACGGTGTTAAACAACAAACAAACACACAAACACAGCGATTGTAAGGTAAAGTAGTGTGCAATATTGGAATCACTTTCTGGTGTCATTGGAAAAGAGTGCAATGTGGGCTCTTTGCCAAACCAACGGCCATTAGTGTAGTTCTTGGTGGCGTTGGAAGAAGGGAGTTATCTGTCCGTTATCGTGGACATTTGCATGGCTTATTAAATGAAAGTTATAACTTCCAAAAAAACATGTTACGAGATGCCATTATATTTCGAGATTGTGGACAAAAGCAGGTCCATCATGCACGCCCATTATTGCCAAACACAGATTTTCAATATATCTGGATAGTTCAAAATGGTATGACAAGTCCTAAGGTTATGGAATTTTAAAATGTGTATGACCACAAGTGTTGGAAGCTGAAGATTGTGTATGACACGTATTTATGGTTTATTGTGATTATTTCGTATTTTATGTTTGTTTTGCCAAGTGACGAAAAGACAACATAGAAGATCAGAATTATGTTACGTAGACATTGTATGGGAACTTGTATTCAAATTTATTTTCCCGCTTGTGTGCTAAACATATGTCACTCTGAGAGAATTTAAAACCGCTTTCTCACTACATCTATAATTTGAAAGATATATTTTTTTCAGCTTAAGTCCTTTAGAAAGTTTGCCTTGAGGGTACAAACGCACTAAACAAAATAATCATTATCACAATTACTTGAAATGCAAGTTTCATACTTATTATTTCTGGTGTGTCAGCGTTTTTAATGTGTGTTAATACGAGTCCTGCAGCACAAGTATACTTGTCAACCGGTACACCATTAATATGAACACATCAGCCTCATATGGGCAATAGGTTACTTGAATCAAGTTATGTTGTAATGGATACGTATGATGTATAAAAAAAGGGAACTGAAGTCGCTCTGTTAACTTTGTCACACTTCATAGTACTTCAGGTAATTTAGGATCTTTTCGCCACATCAACCCGAGACGTTGTGGTATCACTAAACGCCGTTACAGTGATATCACTTAAATAATGTTAAACCAAACTCACTCACTCAAAATAATCATTCGTGCTGCTGCAAATAATTTGCGAGGAGTGGTGTTGAAGAAAATGTTTGTTTTCGCATTATACACCCAAGTACTCAAGAAGTAAATGAAATAACTTATCTTGTCCTTTGAACGTTTGTAGTGGAACAAAGCAAATCGGTAAACCGAAGTGGCGTCCAGACATGTATAATTTATGTGCGAGTGATAAACTCCTGTGACTATTGAACAACGCTTTCTGTATAATGATATTGATTTACTTAGGCTGCTTGATATGCATTGTTTTACATGTGCGCATGCGAGTGCATATCTTATGTATACACGTATCACATGTAAAAGAGCGTAGTTATATCTATAGCTGCGTCTTCTGTAGAATGTCATTCTCAATTTAATAAATCATCCACATTCTACTTAATACAAACCACTTTTCTCAAGCCTTATCCAGAAGACAGTATTTAATGAGTGAGTGAGTGAGTGAGTTGGTTTTACGCCGCTTTTAGCAATATTACAGCAATATCACGGCGGGGGACACAAGAAATGGGATTCACACATTGTAACAGCATCTCAGTAGTAGTAATAATTAAAACATTCCACATTTGTTTTCATGCACGCAAAATGGTTTTATTCACGTATATGACAGTGGCAGATTGACTGTGACTTATTTCGAGCAAACAGTGCATCTCAGCTCCCAGTAATTCTTGTATGGAGGACATGGCAGGGAACCACAGACACCTTCAACAAGATACAAGAGTTGCCCGTTCTTGTTTTCATGGCCACTGCGATCCTTTTCTGCATCTCCATCAACACACAGATACTCACTGGCAGCATAATTATAATGGCCACCCATCAGATACCCCGTGTACTCCACATGCCACCCAGGAAAGCAGGACATCTTGGCAGGCACCATGATGACGCTTGTCTTGGTTGTACTTCTGCACACAGCACAGGGAACGTCATGGTTATGAAGGTGTTTGAAACTGATGGAATGTTGTTTGGTTTCATATTCTGTACCATATATGGCACCTTGAGATTGAAATCCTGGAGTGTGGTTTCCATATTCAGGGTTGTCTGGCAGGCACAGGATATTAGCAGGTCCGGCCTTATGACTATAATGAGTTCCTCCAGCTATTCCTGTGATAATAATGCAGTCGGGTTAGTCAAAATAAGCATTACTAGTAATGCTCAGGCTACTCAGATATAGGATATTGCTTAAACCATGGATACGACAAGGACATACATGTTCCCCCTCTTCAGCTCTCACTTTGAAGGTGACGCAAACTCAGTATACATCACGCACATAATACACTTCACAGGTCTATATTCTCAGGGTGATCTGTGATATCATAGCCCCATATTTTATACAAATCGACATGATCGAAATCCACCTCTGAAATACGGTTCGTTTTTATAAGGCTACTTTTGAAGGAGGTGGTGTCATTTCGTGTATGTTTTAAATTTCAAGTTGTTTACCCTTAGAATGAAATATAACACATTGCTGATCATGGGGATTGGTAATCTATACAATTGCCGATGGTTATTCAGAATCGACGCCAAAGACTTGAAGTATTATGTAGAGTACCATCCCTAAAATCAAATGTCCCAAATGCAACACGACGTTGTAAGACAGTTTAGCCAACAGAAGAAATCCGACTGTAACATCACCAGTCATTCCCAACGCATGGTGTTTCTGTGTGTCCGAAAGGGAAATGTGTGTATGTATGGTACAATGTGATTCGTGCATGGATGGATCACTGCACAATGTGAGTAGACAATCTTTGTATGCATAACTCCCTACCGACTGTCACTTGTCGGTCAATGTATTGATTATATAATCCTAAATAGTTCCGTCCTCAGTTTGTCTACACATACTAAATAAGTATGAAAAAGAGGATTTGGGGTTTGTATTACCTTTATATACAAGTTGAGTTTTAAACGGACATCCAGTTTTACCCCATCGAGTGTAGACCGCTCCGCCATAACCCTTAACTGTAAAACAGATCGATATTGATAAACAAACATGTGCATATTTCCATATTTGGTTGTGCTGATAATCAAAACCTAATTTGTAAAGTACACTTCAATCTTTTGAGTCATAATATGGCACTAATGATATTTATATTAAGTTCATTGGTGCCATTTCACTTTCAACGTTAGTATCAAACACTTGATAACACTTCTTAGTCTTCACCTGCAATTTACAAATAACACGTACATATCCAAGAGCCTAATCGGTTCTGTAACGTATGGTCATCCCAAACTGGTAAGACGATGCAGTCCTACTTAATACACCCAATCCACAAATAAGGTATCTTGTTTCAGAAACAGAAGACAGATTTAGTATCTTGTGTAACCTCCGCCCATCTGGATGACGTTTTGAACCCTCGTCATCATTAATTAAGTGCACAAGACGCTGAACCCAATATTGGGGCAACCTGTTTCATTCTTGGTACAATGTTTGCTCAAATTCATCAATATTCTGGACTGGCGATCGAGCCTTATGCCCCCGAATGTCCCAAACATGCTCGATAGGGTTTAAATCGGGGCTTCTGGCTGACCAGGGAACGGTAGTAATGACTTCACTGTGACAAGCTAAAGTTTCCAGTAAAAACGACACAAAGTCCCATTCTATCAAGGATCCTCAGGTGAATGGAACTTCTTCCAGGGTGTTTCTTTGAACATAGGCCATGTTCTTCCATACACGCGACATTCTGTCAGTAACAAACAGGAAAAACAGGCTCTTGTCTGAAAAATAGATCCTCCTCAAAGATGCTGGTCACGGCAAGTAGTAGATATAATGATAGTCCTAGACCAAGTCCAACAAAAGCCTCTGCAAAGCTTTATTTCACAAATAAAGCTTTTGTCAGACCCTTAGATCTCGGCCCAGTATACCTACTACTTTTGAACCCCCAGTTAACTTCCCGGCTCCACGTGGCACAATAGTGTCGCACATGGCACTACTGTGCCACTATGACGTGTTGACAGGAAGTAACATTGTACCGTACGGTATGATCAATAATTCCTCTCTAACGAAACCTCTAGCTGGCCCATCTCTCAAGTAGTACAAGTTCGGCTCGTCGACTTTTTCTATGTTGTAAGTTTTGACTGACCATATCGGATCTGTGGCTCGCTTACGACTATCCCCCTCGTGTTCCCCTGGCTGGTTGAGGTACCTCACAAAGGGCCCTATCTGGTATCTCCTTCCCACGCATGGGTGCAGCCGACTCTGCCACTATTGATTTTAGTTTGATAGTGTCGGCTGGTTTCTTGCCGGTGAGATGGGTGATTTCGTGGTTGATGGCCGACACCACCTGAGGTAACGACGCTACCCATTCAGTCGATCGTTTCCCCGGGTTGTCCATCTCTCTCGCATACTGATGCCCGAATAAGCGTTGGCCAAAGTCCGATTGAATCTCTCGACCATGGCTTGGCTGCGATGAGCCCCGGCAGCGCCACGCCTGACCTTGATATCGTGTTTGTCTAGCAGGTGTGACACGGCACCCATGAACTCACGCCCGGGGTCGACTTGCAGCTCTGTGGGCCACGTCAGCGGACTGCGTTTGTACATGCGTTCGAATCTGAGGACTACCTGGGCCGAGTCTTTCGTGGTCAAGGGTTCGGCTTCCTTGTAGCGACTGGCAACGTCCACGACGGTTAGGGGCATACTTGTACCTCTTGTCATGGGGTAGGAATAGGAGGTCAGCCTGGTGAACGCTATTGGGTATGTTAATACCGAACTTCCTTCTAGGCACGTAGCGTGGTGCCGGTAAATAGATCTGCCACAGGGCTTGTTTTTCAAGCCACCCTTTGGCCTCCTCCGAGGGTACTCACGCCATTTTAGCAAGCTTATGTATGGTGCTAGCTCCTTTCCAGTACCCACGCGGGCTGTAGTAAATACCCTCAAACTTTCTTTGGTTCCGTGCCAGCACACTCGTCCTTCATCTTACCTAGGACCTTTTTATTTACCGTGCTGTGTATGGCATGGTCCTTGGGATAGTCACTGGTGTCATACAAATCGAGGCGATGTTTCATGTCCTCGTACACGTCCTCGGTTCGAATCTCCAACAGCAGGGAATCCGTGTCAGTGTACAGCACTTCGCACCTGTCGCCGTACTGTTTCTTGAGCTCGTTGTAGTAAAAGTCGTACATCAGGTGTTTTGATAAATCGGGGATCCTCACCCCCACGTAAACAGGCCGGTTAAATTTTATGTGGCTTTTCTTCATGTGTAGGGCAACTAGGTCGTCGGTGAATATCTTGCTCTGGTTGAATGCCGGGCTGGCTATCAGTCTCCTGAGCTTGTCTTCCTCATTCGACCAAACCAGCTTCACGGTCTCGTGTTTCCTCAGGTTCTCCATAGTCTTACCGAACACCGAGTTGTTCATGAGCTTGTAGAGGATTTTCTCAAAGTTACTGGTGGCCAGCTTTCGCAGGTCTGTGTTCATTCTGATGTAAGGCTCCATCCAGGGGCTCTGGTCGAACACGAGCACCCTGTGTATTTTGGTCAGCCTCATACCCAACGACAGGTACAGCTGTAGGTTGCGATAGTGAACGATGTACTTGGTCTTATTCATTAAGTTGGGCACGAGTTTTTCAACGTCTGACACCCGCCCACCTACCAAGTTATGTTGGTACTCAGACATCCAGTCTGGGTTGACCCTCATACGTTCGGGGGCCAGGGGGTAGCTGTTGTGTGATGTGTGTAATGCCTTGGGGTATTCCAAGTCCACCTTGAGGATATAACCTTTGCTCGAATGGTCCGCGATGCTCATAACATCGATCTCGTGCGATGCCCATTCGAATCGCCCTGTGGGTAGATACTGGCTCATGGCCCAGCCGTGCAGGTTGTTGGCGTCGACGTAGAGAATATGATCGGTTGGCTTGCTCGGGTCGTAGCCCTTCACGTATTGATTATTTGCTTTTGCGTATCGTTTGGTTGCCATGGAAATCCCACGTCACAAACCTTTCTCAATGAATAGGTGCATGTCGTAATCAGTGAGCGATTCCAACTTAACTCCGGTCTTTTTCAACAATGCATCCCACGACAGACCTGGGCTGGTGTAGTACCATGCGGGGTCGAGTTGATACTGCTTAAAACACGTCCTCCTAAACGTCTCAAACACATCGGCTAGCAGGAGTACATCTGTCCTCAAGTACAGGTCGTGACAGTCACCCAGATTCTTACAGCCCAGTTTATTCAATACGTTAATCGCGTGCGAGTAATCGTCTTGAGTGATTGTCGAGTCGGTCAGGTTGCTGTAAAATTCTCTGATGGGGGGTAGTCGGGTCTCGGCGAACTTGGCCCAACCATCCATGTACTCGTAGGGATACACACTCTTCCTCATTAGCAGGGATAGAGTCTCGGCGTCGGTATATCGATCGGTGATGCGGAAGGTATCGTTGGCCTTGACCAGACTGTCGAGTGACGACAGGAGGAACTGAACCGAGTCAATGAACCTCAGGCCATTCAAGCTGAAGGAGATGTATCTCTCCATGTTGTTGGGGATGCACGTCAGGTTGCCGTCGACTTTCGCGATGGCCTGCATGATCAAGTGAGAGTCGTACCCTATCAAGTTGTGGAAGACCACGGGGATGTTTATTGTCTTGGGGGTGATTCTAAGCTTGAGATTACACGCGCTGTGAGCGGCGCCTCTATACTTACCGGTGACGTGGCAGTGATCTCTCACCGAATCACCGTTCAGTGGTGAGTCACACACGTGACAGAGAGTGCTGCAGGTGTGAGCTAGCCGGTCGGCTTGAGTCATACGCATGGGAGCGACTGTGTATAGTGCATTCCTAATACTTTTCTCTTCCTCCTGCAAACACTTTAAAAACTTTTCAGCCGCGTCAGGACCCCTATACACTACCGGAGCTTTCGTTTTCCCATCACAACGGACGACGTATCAAAACCCACAGGCCTCATGCTCCTGTGTTTTTTTGTGTGGCTAGGGTACCCCCGGCAGCCTCAACGGGTTTGACCAAGGCTTCAAAGTCGGCGTAGATGACATAAGGCACAGACATTTGGTTCTTGTGGTTGTCGAATTTTAAGATATTGTCACCTTCCTTAGGCATGTCGACTCGTATGGCCGTCTGCCCCACACCTTGGCAATCCTCCCGGTGGGATTCTAATAAATCAGCTCGGCTGAAACCGTGCAGGCATCATACACAAAAGTGTTTTTTCCCAACGTGTTTCGACTGGTCGTGCAACAGCCTGCTGAGGTGTTTTATCCACGTGTAGTGATACTTATCACCTCGCTGGATCATGAATATATTGATAACGCGGCGACCCAACACTGGGCTGACCCTGTGCACGATCGTTTTGTTACCTTCGTGCCCTAAGACGTTTATGGCTATATCATTCTGTTTTTCTATTTAAGTTATCTGGGATATGGGGGTTGGTTCATCTATACCATCCCAGTTGAGCCCATTGTCTTGGGGATAGCTAGAAAGCCTGTCTGAATGAGTGTCAGCTGGAAACAAGGCTGACCTGATAGCTACCCTCAGGCAATCGTCTCCTCTATTCTTGACGTTGACCATGGCCTGTTTTGCTTTGTAGTAGGGGGGCAAGTCTACGTACGACCCACCTCTGAATGGCACGTAGTTAGCTATGTCTAGATAGACATTATCGATTTTATCCACTACCCACCCGGACCCCATGTGTGTGTAGCGTTCTAGGTATTCTCGTATCTGCTGAAAACTGGTATCGATTGACTTGTCTATAGTCTCGGTATGAGTCACGACTTCTTGTTTACCTCGGAAGTAAGGCTGAACGTACTCAATGACCCCAGTGGGGGTTCCCCCCTGCTGTTTATCGAGCGACATTTTCACTGTGATTTGAAACTTTATACTTCCCAAATCGTTTAGTTCCTCATTGACTTTATCAGCGATTAGAGGCTTGATATCGGCGATGTCTATGTTCCTATCAACATGCATGCGCCAGCCTCTCAAATATTTACCTACAGCGCGCTCAGTGGGTATGAACTCTAGGTCAATAGCTCTATTCTGCCGTAATAGTTCTACAAGCTGTGAATTCCTCATACGGGAATAACCAACTAACCCCAAATTGCGTGCCTCCTGTTTGAGTAGTTTCACAGTGGAGAGTAACCAATTACACCTCGCTGTCTCGCGATCTGCTTGAGCTCGCGAGTAGTAGACATTGTGTACACACCTAAGTATATCAATCTCTAATTGGGCCACCGGCAAGGGAGGTAACTCTTCCAACCTTGATAAAAAATAGAGGCGCTATAAAATCCTTAGTAAATATCTAGATAGACCTTATCGATTATACCCTCGATCCACCCGGAACATGCGCAGCATAGTAGGGTGTTTTGTATTATTTGCAACGAGTCGTCAACAAGTATATCTATCTCCCAATGCACATCTATTCGTCCACCATAAAAGTAATGCCAAGTGTGCCTAGCCCATGGTACATCAAACCCTACTTTCACCATGATTGTAAATGAGCACCCCTTATATAGTTCGCTAACAATCATGGGTTTGAGGACACTGATATCTATACTTTCCCCCACATCCATCTGCCAGCTTCTCAGGCAACGACTTTCCCTTGGCTCAACTTCCACGAACATTGTTATACCTAGGTGTGCACAGTCTCTAATTGGTTCACTACACTGCTATCCTGAGGAGGCGCCTACGTTCTACGTTCTTTTCTGTAGACTTTTTTCTTCTCGTAGATAAGATGATGCCTGACTACGTTTGCTCCATGAGCTTTGCATAAGCAGTAGTGACCTTTCACCCCGACACCACACACAGAACACGTGTAGTTGATACTCTTTATATGAAAACAACAGTACCTTTCAGTCCTGCAGCTCCTACCACAGGCCTCGGTCTTCCCCATAAGTATGTACTGACATCGGTACGGGGCAGGTCTCATCTTTAGTATACTTATATGAGTACTTAGTCTAATTGTTTCGCAACCAACGCAGTCGCTGCTAGACCCAGCGCAATAAAGATCAATTCCCGGTCCATTTGCCCCGGGGATGGTGTGTAGTACTGAGCGAGTGTGGGCTTATTGAGTTGTTTTAGCTGTTTACCTGTTAGTAGGTAGTATTCTCCCCCTGCGCCGTCGACATCATGGAATGTTTTAACGGCACGGTTCTCACGCCTGAGTTGTTCGTTAATGTAATCGATCCTCTGTACACGTTTCTTCGCGTACTCGGCTTGCGCTGCTTGAAATTTCTCAAAGGCCAGGTTGTGGCGCACTTACGCTCAGCTTGTATCTCAGCCGCGTGTGAGTCCCGTAGTTTCGAGAAGAGGAAATTACTCCCGGAAAATGCCAGGGCGTTTACTAACGCCCCGCCGACCATCATGGCGATCGTAGCCATCCTATATATAGTTACATTTACTTCAAAATATTTTCCGGTAGGATCCCTTGTTTTACTAGGATGTCCTTGGTGGCCATCGCCATACCCAGGTTCATTATGAGCATACCCATATCCTGCAGGTTGAAATCTAGCTTGATAGTCGGTTGTTTCAGCACCATTTTGGTCAACCGAGCGTACCCTACAGCTAGACTGGCGACCACGGTGGCGTGGTATGCATTGTTGACGAACGTTTTCCCCTCAGACATTATGTATATGATATAAAAATATATATTTATAACATGATATGTGGGTTGACCTCTAATTTTGGGGGAGGGTTTCCCTCTCGGGGCTCCCTGGGTGGTTGTTTATTATATAACCATGAGATAGCCACGCCAGCAGTTGCGCCTGCAATCAACAGGAGTGGAGCCCGGCTCCACGTGTTACTCTTATGTTGGTTTGACCACCTTTTTCTACCAGCGGCGACTCTCTTAGGGTTCTTCTGCCTGGTGACTGTAGGGTTCACCTCCCTGGGGGTTTGGGGTGGGGTTTCCTCTGAAGAGGTCACCTCCCTGGGGGTCTCCTCCATGCGGGTTTGGGGACTCATTTCTTGGGCAGCATCCATCTTGTATACTATTATTATTATTTTTCCCCTCCTTAAATTGGCAATGCTTTGCTGTGATAATCGCCGCCGTCACCGGGGCTAAAACCATACCGTATTTGTGGTACAGCACGTCAGCTGAGCTCAAGACGTGTTCAATAAAAGGGTCTTTCTTGAGGTCCCCCCACAGGTTAAGTCGGCGTTCCTGGGGAATGGGAAGGAAGTACGACACTATACCAGTGTAGATCTGGGTCATAGCCGATCCTATAGTCTTTGTCATCTCGGCCCCGAGTCTATCCTCGTATCTAGCGTACAGCTTATCGATTTCTTCGGCTGACATTTTGTGAATTTTATCGGGTGTGTAGTCCCCAAAGTAATGTTTGGCTTTACCACCGACTGCCAGCGCCACCAGTCTCTCTCGCTTATCATCGTCCCCTCGCTTATCCCCCTCCAACAGTTGTTCTAGCAATTCATCACACTCCATCTTATAATGTAATAAGTTTAAGTTTTAGTTTTAATAATATAATACCCGATGCAGGTGAAACATAACGAGATAAAGGTTAAGTTGCACACGGCTAGCACTTCAAAAACAACCATCGTATAGAACTGTAACAATTAATTGCTAAGCGCTAAGCTTCGCTTAGCTTTGCTAAGCTTTGCTAAGCATTTGCTAAGCTTTGCTAAGCATTGCTAAGCTAAAACACCCTATAGGCCACGGGTTGGTCGGTCTTGAGCACGAGCTTAGCATGCTTAGTTTCAGCGAGCTGTTTCTTTACCCGTTCCCGTTCTAGTTTGCTCATCACATCGTTCTCTCTCAAACACTCCTCTAACGAATCCCTGTCCTTGCAGTGGAATAAGGCCACCCATCGCGTCTGCTCCCTGAGGTCTTTCAACACCGAGTTGAACTTCTGCATTAGTACCCAGACGCTGTGCTTTGCGTGCCGGCCTGAGAAGGCCAGGTGCGATAGCATGTCTCTCTTTTTTGTTATCTCACGATTAGCGCTGCAGTCGTCCAGTATGAACAGCATCGACTCCCCTTTAAATTTGTTATGATAAGCCTTCAACCAGTCCTGCAGACGTGTTCCCGGGTCGACTTTGTGTACGTCCGGGTCCATCATCACCAAAGGTCTTTCCGTGTACGTTCTATTCATCTGCAAAGTCGGGCACATGATAACGATGTTATCGAACACATCCCGGTAGTACCCCCTCCAACATATCCAGCATGAAAACGGTCTTCCCACAGCCCGTCTGCCCGCACACTATGGCACAGTGCGGGTCGCGGGGCAAATCAATAGATGGCTTGCACGAATCTCCCTTTGTCTATATTAAGTTGCGCGTCCATAATAACGTACAGATATAATTTCAACTTGCCCGCAGGTTGAGCCTTCTTGGTAATCTGGATGGTTATCCCCTCGCTACCGTTGTCGATGCGGAGACCGCTGCCGTGCAATTTATCGTCGTCCTTGGATCGCATGTCCAACCACAGCACGTACTTGGTGGTCAGGTATTCACCGATCTGCACAGCGGATAGGTCCAGGTCCTTGATGACGTGTTGGTGCCGGGTCGGTAGTTTCATTATCTCATCCCACTGCTGGTGTGCCCTCATACCGGCGCTGAACAGCTGGTTTGGCACGCCCTCAATGGTCACTTCCACCTTTTCAATCTCGGGGTTGAAAAACTTCTCGCTATCCCTTCGGAACGGGCTCGTAATCCTCCACGCGGACGATCAGGATACCTTTCATCGATCACGCCGGCACGTTTAGGTTGATATTCCACAGCGTGTCACTCTTATCCCGCACGATCGCTCTATGCTGCAGGACCCTGTCGTACAGGATGGCCACCTTCCCCCAGTACTGGTTTCGAACCTGCCTGGCCAGCTCCGGGCTAGTGACCATGTCAAACTCCAGAGAGATGTTTTCGATGGTGTAACTGGCCTCATCACCGTAACTGGCCTCATTGCTGAGGTCATTAAACGTGAGCTCATATTCAAGCCTATCACCCAGCACGGCCTGGTAAAACGGCGCGTGTCCCATGAGCAGCTCGAAGTTGAGCGGCACGCAGAACCTGTTCCCGTACGCTTGGGCTATGGCCTTTTCACCGTTCTGCCGTGAAGTGAAAGACGTCGCTGTCGTCGATGTTGATGTCGTCTGCTATGAACTCTGCTCGGCGCATGTTACAGCGTAGCTATGGGGCTTATGGGTAATTCCCAGGTATAAGCGAGTGAGCGTGTATACAAGGTGACATGACAGATAAAGAGTGTATGTGAATGAATACAGTGTTGGTTATCATGGAGATGAATTAACAGTGGTAGCAGAGCGTGGTTTGCATATTCTAATCATTGTGGCAAGTGTATTGACTGTATATCTTGTGAGTTACACCGTATGAAGTTTGAAGTTACTGATTGAACCTTGACCAAGTATGGACAAGTTGGACAAGTGAAATGTGCGTTCGGTTGTATTCTGCCAGTAAATAATGTGATGAATGGAATTCAGTTGCATAGTGACATCTTCAGTGAAAGCGACAATTATCAATCTGAACAATTGACTCTGTAGTTGAACGAAGTTATTCCATTGTTTACATGATCGAAAACTGGACTCGGTAGCGGGACAAAGTATATTCAGTGTACAGAAGTGAAACATTTCGTACCATGGCTGTGAGAATCAACCCTCCGGATTTCAACCTTACTAAGAGTTACGAGCGTTACAAGCAGGAACTGCTGGCATGGCGGGAAGTTACTGACTTAAAGAAAGAGAAACAAGGTATCGTCTTAGCTCTGTCTTTGCCTGAAAACGAGATTGGTATACGTGAGAAAGTGTTTGATAACATCAATCTTGCTGATTTGAAGAAAGAAGATGGTTTCGATACCTTGTTGACGTTTTTGGATAAAAATTTGTGGCTCACGTGCTCAACTTGATTGAAGGCTCACCCGGGGGGCGATATCATGAAAAAAGACGGGAAAGGACCGTATGCTTTGTCAACACTCACCCATCGCCCTGGTGGGAGTCATCTGCTCCGTGATGAACTAGGCTTCATAGATTACGGGGGCGCACGGTCTAAGCTTCCCCCGAAGGTCGTCCAAGATCTACAAGACATCAGGGCCGAACTCAGCGGTGAAGGTGATGCTAAAGAAACATCAGACAACATCGAAAAACTATTGGCCACGTACCATGACAAACCCTTGCCTGGTTTCGAATTCCCTGTTCAAGAACTGCGAGGCCTAAATGAATCCTTGAAACGTGACGTGGAGAACTCGTGAACAACATGGGGAAACTGAACGAAATTGATGAGCAGATCGCTCGTGAGAAAATAAAACTCACGCGAAACGGAGGACGATGATATGAAACCTCGTATCGAGGAGAGAATAAAAAACTTAGAAGACGAGAGACGGACTCGGTTGGAATCCGCTTCCTCGAACCGGGAAGCCCTCCGATCCCAGATCAGTCATGTGCGGGAAACCATCGATCGAGTCCTAAATGAGGACACCACGCTAGCTGACAGGATCCGAATCCTCGTCCGAGAGCAAGGGATTACTACATTCTGACTGCATTGGGCTCCATCATATCAACCCTGGTGGTGTCATTGACGCCTGCCGGTGGCAGTGGTACACCAACACCAACACCCCCAAGTGGTGGTGGCATCAGAGACTGGATAAAAAAACACCTGAAATCCCTCGGGGAGGCCCTGGCTAAACTGGCTGGTAAGGCCGGTGAAGCCCTGCCCGGCATCCTGGGTAGCATCGTCTCGTGGCTGAAGAGCACTCTGGCTAAAACTGCCACGTGGCTCTGCCAAAACCTGTGGGCAGCCATCGTCGCCGTGGTAGGGCTGGTGTACGTAGCGGCTAAGGAATTTTTAGCCAAATGAGTCCCACCCCGACCGCGACCCCGCCAACCACCAGCGCTGTTTTACGATCGATGTGCTGCTGATTGGATTGTGGGGGTTGGGGTTGTGGGGGTGTTGGTTGAACCCTGGGCTCCGGGGGTGGTACGACTATACCCATCGCACCAGTATGTGTGGGTGGTGGGAAGTGGGGGGTGTTAACATCGGGGTTGACGCCAAACATTTGGCCCGCCGTGGCTATGACTATTTCGTTGTTGTAGCCCACCACTTTTTTTATTGCTCGGAGCCATGTACAATCCAACATTGAAGACGTAGTCGACTTTCGACCGGGCATATTCAAATACGTCTTGATAGCGTTTGATGGCACTCGGTAGATCAACTGGAGTATTGATAGCATCCTCAACGTTAACAATGAAGTGTTTCTGAGCATCGTAAGCAGTCCCCTTACCGAGGTTGTTGGAACGCGTTTGCGTCTGCGCACCCAACAGCGCCCACACGTACGTTCTAATCGAGTCGTTCAATCTGATTACACCGGCACGAGTGAACCCTCTCGGTGTGTCCAGCATGAACATTTTCCACCCGTCCGCGGTTGACTGCTCCACTTTCTTGACGGTGAAAGCAACACCACCTTTAAAGTTCATAAGATCATCTCGCCATTCATTACTCGACAAAGCAAAGTCCTGGCGTAGTATATCTCGTTTCAGTAAATCATCACTGACTTCTTTCACGGGTCGCCCCCCATTATATGGAATACCCAACCCGTGGTTCGGGCCCCAGCAAACGCCAATCCGTCTTCGGGTTTAGTTCGAAATTCGTTGCAAATACGTTCGTAGGCCCGTCTATCGTACTGGTTGTTTACTGCGTCCCACGCGTTGTCCTGTCGGAGCGGGGCGCTGATCTCTTTGATGATATCCCTGACCTGGTAGTACACGTGAAACATGAACACAGACTGACTCAGCAGGCCACGCCGAGTGTCGGTCAATGTCACACCACACCCCGTTGTAGCGCACCACATGGCGAAGTTGAGTTGATTCTGCCAGAACTGCATCGGGTTGTTGAACCAAGCGTGGACTGCCTTGTCATTAGTCACCGAAAGCTTATACCGGTCGAACACATCTATAAACTGAGCGCTGAAATACATCCCAGCAGCGTCGACCACAATTTTCATGTGTGGGAAATCTATGTCCAGTTTAGGGTAAAACACTCCCGGCTTGTACATTTTTAAAGTATTATATAATGGGTATATATACTCTAACATGTACGTAACACTTCTAGGAATAACGAGCGGAGAGGCCGTTCAGCTGATACACGCGATCGATAACACGTTGGGTCAACTCGAAGTCGCACTCTGCGATATCACCTACCTACCGCGATGGACTAACATCACCGTCAACAACAACAAGCTGTCAGTGGTGCCCGCAACCAGATAACTGACGGCTACTACAGCGTGTGCTCGCTAAGCGATGAGGTCTTCAAACCCTTGGGAGCTGAACTCAAGATGAACGACTCAAACGGCACAGTGGTTTTAATCAATAACGGAAGAAACCCCTTGAGGCTCGGCCGACCATTGGCGAGGACACCCGGTATGCCGCCTGATGAGATAAAACCAACAACTACCGTCACAGGCACGAAGTTACCCGACCTAGTACCGTACCGAGACCTGTGCATTCATCTCGGTCAGTTGAGCACAACGGACAACATTCAAGGTGGTCACCCTTCCAATATACTGAGAGCCGTACCAGTGAAAACGGAGAAATACAACGACGGCAGAACCGATTCGTTTTCACCACGGCAGTATAAGAGGTTAACTCAGGGCAACATCCTAGAGCTGATAATATCGGTGTTAGATATAAATCATAATCCTGTGACTATAGGGTACCTCAGCATAACGCTGCACATAAATGACTAGCGCACAAGGCCCCGGCATGAGGTTGAAAAAATGCATCGATGTTGGGATCTTCGACCTCGGGGACACACGCGGATTCGACGACCCCGGAGTAGATGGTAAATTGTACGCCTTGCAACTTAAAAACAACATTTACAAACGTGTTGAAGTCCCCTCCGGTGGAACACTAGGTGATATAGTAAATACCTCAAGGGCAGTCGTCAACACTCGGTACGCCCTAGACAGCACCGGTGATGATAAATGGATGGTATACCGATCGTTCGGAGGCAAACTGTTTGACATAGAAGATATTGAGAGCACTACCGTCGCCCGAAACAAGCCATATACGCTCGTCTTCACCGACGATGACAAGTGGGTGTTGTTACCCGCTAAAGTCGACTGGTTTCTCAATATTAGGCTCGGCTTCCCCTACGTGTTCATGAAGAACAAAGACAACTACCTAAACAAAGTCGTGAACAACGGAACCCTGCTCGTGGCTTACGTCCCGGCTCAGAGACGTAGCGTAGTCTTCAGCCAAGCCGCCAGTATGGCAGCCCACATACTATCGAGTAAACCGGGAGTGCAAAACATGACATTGCAGCTGGTGTCTGAATTCGAAGGCGTGGTCAACATCCTGGAGAGTCTACCGGCGAACTCCACTCTGGTCATCAAAGTCTACCTAGGGGAACTATCGCAGAATGAAGTCGAAATCGTGAAGGGGGGTCAAACTCGGGTGGGCGAAACTGCACCAGTATCAGGTTTGCACTGTTTACGTGCGGGTGGGTGCCGACTCTCACACCAGTCTGCAGGGGGGCACCGTGATCGTGGAAGACACGATATCACTCACCAAGATCTTCCTACCCAACAACATACACTTCATGGGGTTGAAGTGCGCCCCTGCGAAATTATCAGAAAAACATTTGGAAACTCTCTCGTAATAGTATTATAGCAATGGCCAATCATCATCGGCCCAACGCCACACTTAACGATCTAGGAGACACGGAGGGGATTCCATCAGCCTGGTGAGGAAGACGCCTTGTACGTCCTACATCTAAAAGATAACGTGTATAGGCGGGCGGCAATAGACGATCATCTACCCAAACCCACACTCGGGGACCTAGGAGGCATAGAGGGATTCGATCAGTCTGGTGGGGGAAACGTCCCGTACGTCCTACTCTTTAAAAACGGTGTGTACATACGGCAGTCCCTGGTAGACTTTAAAGAACCCAAATGGTTGATCAACGTGACCCTCACCGCACCATATATCTCATTAGACAATGATGGCTATGTCTCCGAAATTAGGAACAACGGTATCTTGCTCACGTCTTTCATTCCAACTCGTGAAAGGATGATAGTTTCTAAAATACCATATTACTCGGGGGGCAACATGTTAGTTTTATCCAGGTGGTCGCAGTTAATAGACAACCGCCCCGATGCCATAGTAGGGTTT